TATGTTCATTGGAGAAGAACATATACTGTGTTTTTGTTGGATAGAGTGTTATGTGTCTGTGAAGTTGACTTCGTTGATGCTATCAGCTTTTGGGTCTTTATTGAGATTTTTCCTTTGATCACCTGTCTTTTATTGAAGTCTGTTATTGTTGAGGGACCTATATCTTTTTTCATTTCTTTGGGGATTTGATTGATATATTTCGAAGATCTATCATTGAGTTCATAAATGTTTATTATAGTATGTGTTCTTGGGCTATTGTTCCCTTGATCAATATATAGTGTCCTCTGTTGTCTCTTAATTACATTATTTGCCTTGAAGCCTATTTCCTCAGAGATTATTACTGTTAATCCTGCTGCCTTTTGGTTGTTGTTTGCTTGGCATGGTTTTGTCTGGCCTCTGATTTTTAGTGTGTTCATGTCTTTTGTGAGGTGTGTTTCCTGTAGGCAGCCTATTGATGGATTTTGGTTTTTTATCCATTCTGCTACGCTGTCTCTTGTGGTGAATTTAGTCCACTAATATTCTGTTTGATTACTTACCTGTGTTTGTTATTATCATTTTCCTTTTTGGGGGGATGGGGGGAGGTATACATGAATTGAGGTTATATGTGTCTTGTGTCATTTTTTTTGTTCTTCCTATATTACATCATTTCTTTGGATAATGCGCTGTGTGTATTGTAAGGTATTGTCCTTCATTGGTTTTAAATTTGTGTGTTGTTGATTTTTGGGCCATAGTACTTCATCTTGAGTTCATTTTTGTACCTGGGGTAAGGTATGGGTCCTGTTCCATTCTTCAGTGGATGTAGATCTAATTTTTCCAACACTGTTGAGAAGACCTTCTTTTTCTCATTTAATTACTTTTAACCTTTTGTTGACAGTCAGTTGTCTGTAGGTTGTTTTTGTTGTTGTTAGGTGTCGTTGAGTTGGCTCCGACTTCTAGCAGCCCCAACTACAACAGAATGAGACATTGCCAGGTACTGCACCATCCTTAAATTGTTCGTATATTTGAGCCCATTGTTGCAGCTGCTGTGTCAATCCATCTTGTTGAGTGCCTTCCTCTTTTTCACTGTCCCTCTACTTTACCTTCTTGAGGGATGGGTCTCTTCTGACACGTCTAAAGTACATGAGATGAAATAATTCATGCTTCTAAAAAAAATTCCCATTCTGGCTACACTTCTTTCCAGACAGTTGTGTTTGTTCTTTTGGCAGCACATGGTACTTTCAATATTCCTCCCAGTACCATTGTTCAATTGCATCAATTTTTCTTCGGTTTTCTTTATTCAGTGTTCAACTTTCACATACATATGAGGCAACTGGAAAATGCTACTGATTGGGTCAGGGGTAGTCTACTCAAAGCATTAGGTTTCTCGAGTGAATAATTTGGTTCTTGGCTTCGCATGAGAGGGAATTCACACCGAAGCCTGATTTGTGATCCAAGTGGATTTTTATAAAGGATGGGTGAAGTTTTCAAGTTTTACAGTCTAGTACACACTATTTGAGGGAAGCGTGCCACAGCACACCCTAGCAGCACTGGGGCTCACAACTGAGCACAAGCAACCTTGTGGGACTATGCAACCACACATGGTGAACTGAAGTGAGAGAGACCGCAGCAGGCCAGAGTGGGCACAGGAGCAGGGTAAAAGAGAGGAGAGAATCCACTGACTGTGAGCGGGGTGGAGGGCATGTCAAAGAGAGTAAGTGAGAAGAGAGGCTGTGGGCCCTGAATAGGCCAGGGGTGCTGAGGGGGCCAGCCCAGGCGGCGATGCCCCCTACCTGCCTCTGATCAGGAGCAGATTAAAAAAAAAAAGACTAGCCTAACCGCTGCCAGGCTAGCCACTGGCTGGGGAGGAATGGTTGATAATATTGGTCGACCACATTGGCTGAATTAAGCCACCTGGCTGAGGTCATAAGCCTGGACCTAGTTTGGGCTGCCCAGGTGTCACACCCATCTGGCTTGGGGGCCATGAATTGGAGTATGCCAAGTTAAAGTCTTTATGGGTCGCTAATGCTTGCCTGATTTTTCTTCCCAACTTCCTTTAGGGACACCCCCCGCCCCCTGCCCCCCAATTCCTATGCTGGCTACCTAACAAAAGTAACCTGCTTGCTTTTTAACAGTTTTAAAAGAGGTTATGCACATCCGGTTTACCTAATGTAATATACTGTGTGAACTCTGAACTGCTGCTTCCATGAGCATTGATTGTGAATCCCATTAAGATGAATTCCTTGACAGCTTCAATCTTTACTCCGTTTACGATGATGTTAACTATTGGTTCAGTTGTGAGGATTTTTGTTTCTTTACATTGAGTTGTAATTTATACTGAAGGCTGTAATTCTTGATCTTCATTGGCAAGTCCTTCAATCCCTCCTCACATTAGCAAGCAAGGTTGTGTAACCTCCATATTGAAGACTGCTAGTAAGCATTCCTCCAGTCTTGATCCCACATTCTTCTTCATACAACCAAGCTTCTTTTATTATTTGCTCTGCATACAGATTGAATAAGTATCAGTGGATATTTACATACAGATTGAATAAGAAGTAAAGCTATGCCACACCTTTCCTGATTTGAACTATGCAATATTTCCTTGTTCTGTTCTTACAACACCCTCTGGATCTATGCACAGGTTCCACATCCACACAATGAAGTGTTCTGGAATTCTCATTTCTTTTTTACCATTTTACATCAGCACCGACATTCCTTGTCCCATGCCCTCATCTGAATCTGGCCTGTCAATGTACTGCTATAACCATTGTTAAATGATAGTAAAATTTACTTGCATGGAATATCAATGATATTTTACTATACTTTTAAACATTCTGTTAGATTACCTTTCTCTGGAATGTGTTACAAATAAGGATCTGTTCCAGTCAGATAGCCAAGTAGTTGTCTTCCAAACTTCCTGACATAGACAAGTGAGTACTTCCAGTGCTTCATGAGCTTGTTGAACTTTTCCCTTGACACCATTGGTTCTTGCTCATATGCTACCTTTTGAAATGGTGAGTGTCTACTAGTTCTTTTTGGTACTGTGACTGTGTATTATTTCCTCCTCCTCTTCCTTACCCCTTCTTTCCCTCCCCTCCGCCCTCTCTCCTTCTTATTAGCTTGTAATTCTTATCTTACAAGTCATTAGTTCAATAATATTAAGAGGTGTACAGTCATCACCAAAATCAATTTTAGACCATTTTCTTCTCTTTTTGTACTCATTGTTACTTGCTCATCATTTTCCCCCAACCTCTCCTGTCATACCCCCATCCATCTTCTTTTCCTGCATCATTCAATATTTTGCCCATAGTTTATCTCAATATCTTAGCTTGAGCCTTGAATTTTTTATTTAGTTCTTTCAGTTTAATATATACTGACCTTGTTCATCCTTTTTGGTTTTGCCTGTGAGTGGATGGATTTATTCTGTGCTTATATTTTTTTATTCTGTTCCATTGGTCTATGTACTTATTACTGGACCTGTACTGTGCTGTTTTGATTACTGTGCTGTGTAATAGGCTTTAAGGTCAGGGAGTGAGAGGCCTTTAACTTTGTTCTTCTTTAGGATTTCTTTGCTTACACTTTCTTATCCATAAAAAAAAAAAATAGCAATGTTTTTTCCCCATTTCTTTAAATTTTAATCAAGCTTGGATCTGGGTTGGAATTGCATTATACTTATAAATTGCTTTGAGTAGTCTTAAGGATCCCTCGTGGTTCCACATTGCTCTGATTACTTTGAAGTTAGCAGTTGTAAACTACCAGCTGCTGTGCATGGGGACAGATGAGGCTTTCTATTCTTTTTAAAACTTAAAATCTTAGAAACTCAAAGGGACAATTCGACCCTCTCCAATAGGGTCACCCCCAGTCAGATGGCAGTAAGCTTAGTTTTGTTTTGTTTGGGTAGTATTGTCATTTTCACAGTGTTAATTCTTCATATCTATGAATTTGGGATATTCTTCCATTATATGGGCCTCTTCTGGTATCTTGTGGTAGTGTTTTGTAGTTTTCTTTGTACACTTCTTTTGTTTCTCTGGTTAGATCTATTCCTCGATATTTTTTTTTTTGTTGTCGACTGGTTCTGGCTATGACTTCCAATATAGTGTTCAAAAGGAGTGAGGTGAGGTCCCCTAAAGGTCTTTTTCAGAAGACAGGATGGCATTTGAGCAAGGAAAGGGAAAGGGAACAAATTCTAAGCAAAGGAGACAATATGACCAGTGGCACAGCAGTGAAAATGGGAGGGGTGATACAGAAATCATCCGAAACAGCTTGGCTGATGGAGATTTTATCAGGGGAAGAATGGGACGTACAGTTGCATAAAAAGACAGGACTAAGTCATAGAGGCCCCTTAGTGCCATGCTGAGGAGTTTAAATTCTTTGTGGTCAGAATACAACTTCGATGAATTCAAGGTAGTGGAATGATGGGAGAGACAAGATGTTTAAGAAAGGTTAATTTGTGTAATCGGATGGGAGGAGAGAAGCTCCAGAGTCAGTTGTTATTACAGTATGTTTCTTTGATATATAGAGAACCAGGGCAATAAAGGCAATGGAAGAAGGAACAGTGTAAATTCAAGAGGTTCTCCATGGGAAAAAATGAACAGCCAAAAAATTGATAACAATCTATGTGTAAGAGATGACGAATAAGGAAAGAACCAAATGACTCTAGGTTCTCAACCTGTGGATCGTGACCCCTTCAAGGGTCGAACGACCCTTTCACAGGGTCACCCGATTCATAACAGTAGCAAAATTACAGTTATGAAGTAGCAACAAAAATAATTTTATGGTGTGTGTGTGGGGTCACCACATGAGGAACTGTATGAAAGGGTCGCGACATTAGGAAGGTTGAGAACTACTGCTCTAGTGTTATAAAATATAGATTTCTAATTTTAAAATATGTAAATAATGCTTTCTCTATTAAGATTTTAGTTAGACTAGTCAGACAATTTCTAAGGATATCCGAAGACAACAAAGGGATTGCTTTTAATAGTCGCTACATCCTAATATTTCTTTCTCTGATACTTCTCCCTCAGGAAGCACTGAGTGTTGCGAAGCTGCAGGTGGAAATGGGAGCCCAAGTGCTGGATATCAACATGGATGATGGCATGCTAGATGGCCCAAGTGCAATGACGAAATTTTGCAACTTCATAGCTTCTGAGCCAGACATTGCCAAGGTTGTATGAAGTTCATATGCATCACATGCAAGAGATTTACATGTCTTGCTATCGCACTCATTTAAGTTTTTCAGTTGCTCTATTGGTTCTGTTAACTCTTAAACTGGTTTTCTGTTTTCCCACATTGGTTTCTAATCATTAGCTCTCTTCATTAATGGTAGCCTTTTTGATATAGGGACTCCCTGGGTGGTATAAATATTTATGTTTTGGCTATAACTGAAAAGAAAGCAATGTGAATCCACTCGGTATCCTTACAAGAAAGGGTTGGTGATAACTTCTGAAACAGTGAAAAAGCACAGCCATTGAAAACCCTATAGTATGCAGTTTGAAGCTGAAACACACAGGATCACTGTGAATCATAATTATAAATGACAACTGTTTTACCACTATAAATTATAAAGGTTATAATTCAAGCTTAGCTGTTTCCAGGGCTTTTGTAGTTGGCCACAGGAATTAATTGAGCATCCTTTGATGTGTGGGGTCACTAAGATTTTTTTTTTTTTTTAATCTCTGGTGTGTATATGAGTACTTACCTATTCCTACCATATTATTATTGGTTTCATTCCTTTCATAAAGGGGAAATCAGTTAATTCTCCTTATTGAAGGAAAAGAAACTAGTGTAGGATTATCAGTAAAATAAAAATACAACACAAAATTAAGTCATGTGAACTTTTAAGTTTGTTTTGTAAATAATGAAAGTTGTATGTTTTTAGCTGCCTTTGTGTCACCTCCAGTCCATGATGAGCCCATGAACTAAACCCGGCCTGATCCTCCATCATCTTCATTTCCTGTTGTGGATAAAGCTGTTTTGATCTCTGGTGTTTTCATTGGCTGATTCCTAGCCCCCTACCCCTCACCCCATGGTAGATCTCCAGGCTTTTCTATATTACTATTAATCCTTTTTATGTTTTTAGATAAATCCAATGTTTGTAAAATTTTTACTTCATTTCTCTGCTGTTAATGTGTGATGAGAAATTATTCTTGAAACTTTGCTTTCTTTTCTTTTTTTTTTTTTAACGATGCCTCCTAGTGTTTTAAGGATTGCATTTTTCAGGTAAAATTATCAGGTGGTTTTTGTGTTTTGTTTAAATTAGACTTCAGCAGTTGCTTGAGTTACAAAAGGTTAATACCAAGTTACATTGACCTATTTTTCAGTTGTGTGTTAAATCATATTAAAAAATCTCATTGCTTCTTTGCAAGTAAATATTTTGAGAAATTAAGATGCTAATAAATGACTTGGTTAGAGTCAGGCAGAATCAGAGGTGAAGCTAGTTCTTTTATTTCTTTTTAATCATTTCATTGGGGGGCTTTTATAATGTTTATTTTAGTTGTCATAGTGAGAAGAGGGCTGGCTGGGAACTGGAAGTCATGGACTATTGTCTTAAGCAAGCCAATTAGCTATTGACCCTGTTTCCTTCCTCATTTCTAAAATGGGAATAATCATTTTTACTTTGAATTGTAAAGATAATTTACAAAAGATAAACTTTGAATTGTAAAGATAAATTAGAACCTCATATAATTTAAGACATTACTTAGTGCTCTCATTGCCCAGATTTTTTTTCCCTTATCCATCTTGGGTTTAGCCTCCACTAAAATTTAGTAGGACCACTAAAATTTAGTAGGATGCAATATTTTGACCAGTTTATATACATATGAGGGGTAGCCCCATGTTAGCCCCAATTCCCACACCCCACCACCACCACCCACAACCCCCGCAAAAAAAAAAAAAAAAAGCACGGAAAAGAGCCTGCTGGGGAAAAATGCCGCAGAAACTATTGTGATGGTGAACACAACTTACAAGGACAGTGCTATGGGGGAAAACTCAAGTGGTTGTCTTATTTCAAAAAAAGTGAAATGTTGATTGATGTCTCATTGTGGATGTCTGTCAACTTCCTGAAAAAATGTCGACAATTAGAGCATTTGGAGTTCATTCCACCAGGTCAGACTGTTCTGTTTAGAGGTTGTGAAAAGATAGCGTAACAGAGGTTGTGAAAAGATAGAATGTGACAAAAAGGCCAGATTTGTGGCAGATGGGAGACTGGTTTTGCCACCACAACAGTGCACCTGCTCACACAGCCATCTCAGTGTACCAGTTTTGGCCAAAAAACAGCACGCTTCTCTTGCCTGACACACATTACTCACCTGACCTTGCCCCATGTGACTTAATGTTTCCAAGAATGGAATTGCATATTTGACAAATGTATTAAGTGTAATGGAGAATACATTGATGGTGATAAGGTTGTTTTTAAAAATTTTAAATACATAGCTTTGGGAGGGGGGAATTCCTTTTTTTGGGGGGGTACCCCATCTTATGTGATCTTATCAGTAGGGCTGGTACACTGAACTGTCAATAAACTTTTTAAAGTATTGGCCTACTATTGCCATTGCATTTGATGATGTTGTTGGCAAACCTCTTAAAAAGAACTCCAAAATTAATGGATCCCTTGTTTTGTTTTTCTTTCTTTTGCTCTGCTATGGGGTGTGGCCGAATGCCTAAATGATTGAAAGGTCAAAGCAGAGCTAGCTATTCATTCTTCAGTCATCTGATGAAGTGGTTTGGTCCCGGAAAGCTTTCCTCTTCACCCACTGCTCTGTACACTGGGTTTTGTTTTTAGATGTTCTCAAACCTGCCTGACTCATGGCAACACTGTTCACAACTTCCTTGCCTTGTGCCATACCCAGGATCAGTTACGGATTGAACTGTACTGTTACATAGGGTTTTCTTTGGTTGATTTTTGGAAGTATACTTTTCTTCCTCATGCATCTTGGTCTGGAAATTCCACTTAAACCTGTTCAGTATCATGGCAACACGTTATTCCCTATTCGCATATAAGGAGTTGGCTTGTTTTAGGTGTATCAGACAGGTTTGCTGCCCCTGAAATGTGTTCTCACGACAGTTTGTGCCTCTATTGTGCGCTAGCATTTACTATAATTTTTACACTATAATTGATGCTTTTTAATCATTTAATCAGTGAAACCAAGCACCTGTTTGCCATTGTCCTCAGTAATTACCATGGGGCCTAAGATATGCTAGGCACTTAATTATTTATTGAATGACCCAATTAAATCATTGTTGGTAGATCACCGTGGCCATTTCATTTCTCTGCACCAATCTATTCCCTCTTTTAAGCCCCAGCTTTCACCTTTCCTGGAACAGAGGTTTGAGTAGTGTATTCAAAAGGAACCTTTTATTACCAGTACACTTCAGATTTGTTCTTTAATTGTAGTTATAGGCATTTGTTGAAGATGGAGCTGTTTTTCCTTCCTAAAGAGAAGATTGAACTTGAATGACTTGGTTGGAGGTCTGTCCCAAGGCATGAGGTTAAACATTAATCCCCGGAATCAGATCAGGAATACCTGAAACCTATTTGTTATTTACATCAGAATTTAAGCAAGCTGAATAAGGCAAACTAATATTGAAGCCAGTTCACTGTCCTGGTTAATCATTCTAAGGTCTCGCTATGATCTCCGAGCTATAAATTACCAGTGCATGTATAGGGCTGGGCCACAGCAAGAGGAAATTGCTTCAAGTATTTGGACTCCTGTTAATTTTGGGCTCTAAATTGCTATTGAGTTGAATTCGTACTCATAGCTCTATGACACAGAGTAGATGATCCTGTAGGGTTTCCAAGTCTGTAACTTTTTACAGAAGCAGCTGTCACATCTTTTCCCCACAGAACATCTGCTGGGTTTGAACTGCTTGGTTACACTACTAGTTGTTAATGAGTGCCCAAAGAAGAACTAGAGACTGTTTAGGAGCCCCTAGAATGGTATTTGTAGTCACTGTGGCTCCAATGATTTTCTGCGTCTTCTGATTTCAGGTACCCATTTGTATCGACTCTTCCAATTTTTCTGTGATCGAAGCTGGGTTAAAGTGTTGCCAAGGGAAGTGCATTGTCAATAGCATTAGTCTGAAGGAGGGAGAGGATGACTTCTTGGAAAAGGCCCGAAAGATTAAAAAGTTTGGAGCTGCTGTAGTGATCATGGCTTTTGATGAAGTAGGCCAGGTGAGTGATTTTCTATAATTTTTGTTTGTTTGCCTTAGCACTGCATGAGAAATTTAATAAAATCAATGAAGAAGTGTTATTGGGATAAATGAATACCCATTTGGAAGAAAATAAAGTTAGAGCTGCCTATGTCACCATATACTAAATAAAGTCCACATGGTTTAAAGATTAAATCTAAACCAAATCCTTTTTAGAAAAATGCTAAAAATATATTTATTTTACCTTAGGATATGGAAGACATAAAAATGTGAAATTGAGTATTAAAAGACCTGGCTCTATTTGCAACATGAGTTCGAGCAATGGGCTTATATGTAAAGGACTTCTATGAATCTCAAAGCAGAATGAACCAACCAACCCAATAGTAGAGGCACAGAAGAAATGAACAAACAATTGATAGAAAAATAAATGTAAATAGCCAATCAACTTGTAAGGAGATGCGAGGTTTCATAATTATTAAAGCAAGTAAAAATAAGGCAATAGTGAAATACTGGTTTTCTTTATGAAACTGGAAATAAAATGGAAAATATTTGATAAACAATATACCAAAATTTAAACAGTTTCTGTTGATGGACACTTATAATGTCTTCAATTTCTTGCTACCACAAACAGTTCTATTAATTCTCTGTGCTCCCACTGTGCTGCTATTGAATCTGGGAGAGACAGGTAGGAGGTGTTGGTCTAGAGAAAATTCTAGTGGATGGTGAGTATTTGGTGATTTATACTGTTGATTTATGCCTTTCATAATTTTCAAAAAGTTAAAATCTATTCAGTATTTTATTTTAAACAGTTTTGAAAAATCATGTCTTTAAGACCCAGCCCCTCTTGGGAATCTTGTAATAGATTGCATATGCAAGAGAATGCATGCATGATCATTATAGCATTGTTTGTGGTAGCAAGAAATTGAAGACATAAGTGTCCATTAACAGAAACTGCGTAAATCTTGGTATATTAGTTAGAATGAGGGGCCCTGGTGGAATAGTGGTTTGTGTTGAGCTAGCTGCTAACCATAAGGCCAGCAGCTTGAAACCGCCAGCCCCTCTGAGGGAGAAAGACAACTTTACTGCCATAAAGAGTTACAGTTTCAGAAATTCAGCAGGGCCAGTTCTACCCTGTTAAATAGAATTGCTATAAGTCTGCATTAACTCCATTGCAGCAAGATTTTTTAGTTAGAATGAGGTGATGGAAGCTTGCATTTACTGTGTTCAGTAGTGAAAATAGAAGTTGCACAATCCCAGTTCTATTTAATAGAATTTATTTATATGGGGTTTGATGTGTCCATAGAGAAACAGAGAAAAAATTGGTAGTTTTTAACTGGGAAGGGTAGGATTGTTTCAAATGGGGACTTTTTATTTAGTATATAATAAAGTAATGTGATTAGAGTACCATTCTTTTCTCTGCCCCTTAAAAAAACTATTGTGAAATTGTTTTTTAGCAGAACCTTTTTTTATTTTTTGTAAAAATGATGCATTTTTATTTTCAATGTAAAATCATGTGTGTATCTAAGGGTAAGAGCAGAAGAGGTTCCAATAAATGAAAATTTTTGTTAAAAATGGAGTTGCATTGTTCTTCTGTAATGCCTTTCCCTCCACTAGACAAAATGCTGGGGTCCTTCTACTTCAGAGAATAGATATTGGAATCCCATCTTTTATGGTTGTGTGATATTTGTGATCTACTGTTTGTCTCTTAGTTTGCTGTAGTGTGGTAGCTTGTGTGTTGTTCTGATGAAGAGGTTTCAGCAGGGCTTTCAAATTAAGACTATGAAAAAGGAATAGACTGTCCACTTCTGAGGAATTAGCCACCAAAAACCTTATGAATATTGCTGCTGAATATTGTCAGATACTGATTTCCAATGTCTACATTGCTCTGAAATCACATGCTCTGAAATCACATGGCCGTTCGAAGACCTCAGTCTGCATACTCAGTGACCTTTAGCTATAGGAATTTTACTTGAATTGTTTTATTTTTGTTTGTACCCTTATTATTCTGTTACTGAACATTTTGGACAGAGTTCCAGTCTGGTATTTTGTTCTGCGTTGGAGATAATCTCTATGTACGTTTACTCTTCATACTTTCTTTAGGGGTTTTCTTGGTTTTGTTTTCCTTCAAGAGCTTTCTCGTTATCTAAATGTGTACGTACACACACACACACACACACACACACACACACACCAGTCTGTTGCTGTTGAATGCATTCATATATCTCCTGTAATTTCTTCAAGTATGTATTGAGTATTTGGTCCTCACGTACCAGACCCTGTTCTAAGCTTTGAGGTGATTGAATGAAACAAACCACAGGTTTCCAAACTTATTTGGCTTACTGTCCCCTTTTTAGAAAAAATATTTCTCAGGATACTTCGGGCAATTTAAAAACTTTTTTACTATAGTCCATAATTCAGGATACCGTGTAGGTATCCGATTTTGCAGCCCCCTGTATCTCTCCACTGCCCCAAAGAGAGCAGTATTGCCTACTTTGGAAAACACAGGGGTAAATCAAAGTTCTTGACCTTGTATAATATATTCTTAGGAAAGCAAGGTGAGATAATAAATGAAAAAAAATATATATGGTGGATACTGTTAAGTAAGAGTTGAAGAAAGAAGATAAAGGGGACTCAGGAGAACAAAGGTGCAGATTTTCAGATGATATTTTATATAGAATGGTTAGGGAAGGCCTCCAGGATAAGGTGACATTTTAGCATATTCCTGAAGAAACTAAGGCAAAGTGCAGAAAGATTGTTTCTGAGGAGAGAAAGTCTTGAAGTAGAAACATGATTGTCATGCTTGAAAAACAATAGAGGTCCAGTGAAGTTAGAATGTAAGGGAAAGGAAGACATGAAATTAGAAAAGATCAAACCAGATAGGGCTTTAATAGGCTCTTTAAAAAAAATCATTTTATTAGGGGCTCATACAACTTTTATCACAATCCATACATGCATCAGTTGTGTAAAGCACATTTGTACCTTCATTGATAGGCTCTTCTTAAGACTTTCATTGCACTTCTATTCAAGTGAACTAGGAAGCCACTGAAGAGTTTTGAGAAGAAGAGCAGAGATGATCTATTAAATGTTTGTCACTCTGGTTATTTGTCGAGAATGGCTGATAGGGGCTTAGTAGAAATTAAATTTAGGAGAGGTAATGTCTAGGAGCAAGGTGAAAAGAATAGTGGATGTGCAGCGCCATTAGTTTCTAGATATATTTTCAATCTAGAACCAGATTGGGTATGTGGGTTGTAAGACAAAGGAGCGTCAAGGATAATTTCAGGGTTTGGGGTCCTAGCAGATGAAAAACTGGAGAAGACTAGGAGAGGAACAGATATGAGTTAGGAAAGGAAGGGCACTGAGATCAGAAATTTGTGGTTGGACATCCTGTGTTCTGGTATCTATTGGACATCCAAAATGTTGAGTGTGTAGTTGCCTAATGGGTCTGGATTCCACCTTAAAGACAGATTTGATAAATTTACACACCTAAATGACATTAAAAGCAATGAGTGTGGCTGTGTTTAGGAATGACTGTGGAGAAAAGTCTTAGAAACTGATTGTTTAGTGCTTGGAAAAAGAAGATGTCAACAGAAGAATCAAGAGGAAGCCTATTTGGAGGAGAACTAGAAAGAGGGAATCATATAGCCAAGTGAAAACAAGAAGGGAACAATTAGTTTTTAAAAGTGTTATAGATAGGGCCAATAGGATGAGCCCCTATTTGCAATCTTGATGTGCCATTTCCAAGGAGGTGAAAGCTAGATTGGAGTGGTTTCAAGAGAGAATCGGAAGAGAAGAATTGGAGATGGCAGGTATAGACTGCTATTTTCAGGAATTTTGTTGTAAAGAAGACAGGATAGAAACCAGAGTGGGCCACAAGCTTTAGAAAGGGCCCATAAATGTGGCAACATAACATGCTTTTAAAACTAATGGTAGCAAAGAGAGGAAGAAAAGGAGAGAAAGGAGGCAGTTGCTAGATCCATGGCCTTCTGTGGCTAAGAGAATTGGAATCAGACAAGAAGAGAACTTGTCTTAGGAACACGGGCAGCGTGTTCAGTGCAGATATTAGCTATGCCAATGAAGGTGCCGGTAGGAGTATGTGGATGCTCTCCTCTGACTGTTTCTATTTTCTCAGTTAAGTAGGAAGCAAGGTCAATTCTGAGAGTGAGAATGGAATGTGTATTCTTTGTATCTGTGATGTGGAACCAAGAATGCATAGAAACACTTGGACTAGTAAGGGGAAGGGGGGGTGTGTTTTCATTGCTAGACAATTTTTTTTTAAGTAACAGTTACCTGGGCTCTATCTTATCTCCATCACTTGTCTGTCAGTTTGTTGTGCTGTGGTGCTTGTGTGTTGCTGTGATGCTGGAAGCTATGTCACTGTTATTTCAAATGCTAGCAGGGTCACGCAAAGTGAACAGATATCAGTGAAGCCTCCAAACTAAGAACAGACAGCGAAGAAGAAATCAGCTGCCCATTTTGGAGGACGTAGCTATTGAAAACCTTATACAGAGAGTTGAAAACATTGTCAGATACTGAAAGTCTAATGAATGGAAGCACAACTGTGTCCTAATGAATGGTCACTGACAGTGACCTCCTCAGGTCAGAGGGCACTTTAATTGAGATTGAGGAGGAGCTGCCTTCTCAGAGTGGAGACAACCACCATGAGGTACAGTCTGTGGGAATGGAGCCTTCGAAATCTGCATTTGCTGCTAGAGCATGACTCAATAGAAAGGCAAACAGCTGCCAAAATCTGCTTATGATTGGAACTTGGAATTTGCAAATTATGAATCTAGGAAAATTGGAGGTTATCAAAATTCAACTGGAATGCCCAAAGATCAAAATCCTAGGTATAAATGAGCTGATATAGACTGGTATTCACCATTTTAAATGAGATAATCATGTAATTTACTATGATGGCAATGACACAATCAAGAGGAATGGTGTTGTAACTGTCAAAAAGGACATTGCAAATTCAGTCTCAAAATAATGTGTGGTCGCTGATAGGATTATATCTATCCACCTTCA